ATATAAATATATAAATATATAAATATATAAATATATAAATATATAAATATATAAATATATAAATATACATATATAAATATAAATAGATAAATAGATAAATATATAAATACATAAATATAATTAATATAATTAATTATATTATATTATATTATAATATTTTATTAATTATATAAATTATATTTTCATCTAAATAAAAAAATAATAATACTGTTATTACTTATAATATATTAATAGTTATTATTTTTTATCATAACAGTATGTTTTGATATTTTTATAATGTTATAATATGTTAATATTGAAAATTTATTATTGAACCGCTGTAGTATCTCATAATCAACCAGTCATAAATGTCCCGCAAACGCACCAGTTTTTAATCGCTATACCAGTCGTACAAATCGCCTAATAACGCTAGAAACCGCAACCACCCACATCCGCAAACTCCCGCAACCGCAATCGCAACCGCCGCGTTTCAACCAGTCAGACCCTAAGTAAAAAAAAGTCACGGCCATACCGTATCTATACCACATTTTTACTAGTGTTTTCTAGTTAAATTTATTTCTTGGTCAAAATTTTCAGAAGATTATCTACCAATTTTATTAGATTATTTACAATTCTGTAGTTGATTTTTTACCAATTCTAAATGTTTCCCTATTATACTATTAGATATAGAGTTGTATCCATACATTAGCCTAAAAGATCAAAAGATATAGAAATCAAACTTCGTTTCAGTTTCCTCTAAGGATCTCTCAACTCGTACGTCCTCTACAATCTCTTTGTTTATTTCCGCATGTTGAATATCTGCTTCTTCTGTAGAATCTCTGATCGTTTGCTATATTTGATTATCTGCTTTTATTTCAATAGGGATTCTGTTACAATTGTGATTATTATGATTCGATAAATATTTTCGTAGACTTTGTGACGAGCCATCATGATTGGGTTATTCAAAGTTAAGGAAGGATCCAAAAATGCTAATGGAAGTAGCGCCTCTGGCAAGAAACAATCTGCTGGTGAACTTCGTCTTCACAAAGGTTCTCTATTTCTTCTCCTCCAACTTTTGTTCTAGGTTTTTTTTGATGTGCTCTAGTGTGTGTTATCAACCTTTTTAAAAACATTTCTTGCTTATAGATATAGCTGAACTGGATCTGCCAGCATACTGTTTGATATCTTTTCCTGATGAAAAGTATGACTTGATGAACTTTGAAGTCACCATTAAACCCGATGAAGGGTATTACATGTAAGTTATATAATAATCTTTCCTTTCACATTTTTATTTCTGAATCTGTATGATTCCTTCGTTCTTGTGCTTACCTTAAATAGGGGTGGTGCGTTTGTTTTCACATTCCGAGTCTCTCCTGCGTATCCACATGCACCACCAAAAGTTACGTGCAAGACCAAGGTTGGACTTACTCTCTTGGAATATTTGTTGATTCTTCTTCTAGTTTGCTTATAAGAAATGTGTTATATACATGTAGGTGTACCATCCGAATATTGATTTTGAAGGAAATGTTTGTCTGAACATCTTGCATGAAGACTGGAAACCTGTTCTCAACGTAAACACTGTGATCTACGGTCTTGTCCATCTCTTCACGGTAAAAAAAATATCCTTCTTGTTGATACTCTCCTACATTGATTCTACTTTTTTGGAGACTTTCAAGGGCTTTTGTTTTCTTACAAAGGAACCCAATCACGAGGATCCTTTGAACTGCATGGCAGCAAAGGTCTTGAGGTATAACCCGAAGCAGTTCGAGACTAATGTCAAGACGGCTATGAGTGGTGGCTATGTTGGCGGAACCTCATTCTTCCCTGGTTGCATGTAGGTAAAAAGATATGGTTCGGTTTAAAGCAATCATCTTTATGCTCTTCAACAAACTTGTGTGTTTGCTCTTTTATTTGCCCTTGACATAAAACTCCACTAAACTGAGGTCAAGTGTATTATTTTTTAAGACTGGATTGTATTATTAAGCTTTATAGACAAAAGAAATTCTAAACAATGTGAGCTAGCAGAACAAATAAAGAAAAGAGATATATCCATAGGTATCCAAAGTAAATTAACACAGCTATTTTATGTATGAATGACTAAACATTTTATCCAAAAACACAACGTTTCAAACTGAGTTGACAACGATTGTCACTCTTTTTTTAATACTTCAATATAACCCACCAAGATAGGACAAATCTTTATTTTTCTCTACTGATAATAACATATTTAAAGAGATTATTGTTCTATATAATTTCATGATGCAATTTGAAATAACCATGATCAAATAAAGAACCATTAACAATAGCCGATAAGATCCATCACCACCATCCGCCGTAGATATGTCAATTTCCTTTTTAATACAATTCAATTGAATCAAATCTTGTCTTCCCAAATCTATTGGAAGAAACATAAAAAATGAACAATCAAAAGTTTTGTTTGATTTAAAGTAAATTGCCAATCAAACAAACCAAGTGACCGTAAGCAAAACAAATCAAAGAAAAAGAAGCAAAACAAATTAAACAACCTGATGTCGGAGCTGTAGAAACCTCCGGCCATTGACTTGAAATTAAAAAAAAATCTCTATTTCTCTCTTAACGGCTAAGGATCAAATGTATTACGTATTTTCTTAATTTTTAAAAAAGTTCATTCAAATTCTTAGTCAGCTGCTTTACAGTTCTTTTCAAATCATCACCATCGTATACTATTCCTCAACAAATTAAACTCATCAAATATTAAATCTAAACCAAAAAGTAATCAAGTTTCAGATATTATACTGATTAATTTTCAGTACTCTTTACTAATATACTATTAAGGTTAGTTTTTGGCTGAATAACATGGATGATTAGAATGAGTTGTAACTTTATGTTTTTAGCTGTAGACTTTAATGTGTAGATTTATTTTCCGTAATTATTTTTATGTAACTTTGTATAATACTAATTTTTTTGCTTTCAGAACAAAGATTTCTACAATCACTTTTACTTTTCCGAAGATGCTTTGACAGTAGGATTTATTTGATGTAAATTCTTTGATGTAATTTTGTAAAGCACTATTTTCTTTTTGCTCTTGGAACAAAGATTTCTACATTCACTTTTTATTTTTATTTTCCAAAGATGCTTTGAAAGTATGATTTTTAAAGAAAGAAAAATTTGATTTGCTGACATATATGTCTACAAAATAAATTTTAATTGTTGCTTAGAACATCTACAGCCACAATCAATTACCACTTGTTAGTGTAGTTTTATGGCTATTGGTGCTATATTTTCACTAATAAATATAGTATTTTATTTTGATATAATATTTGTATATTGACGTATAAATGTTTTCTCACAACCTATATGAGGTTTATACCATTTTCTAATATTTAATGATTAATTTATCTCCATTTTTATGTAGCTATAATCACTACCACAAATATAAGTATTGGTAGCACTTCACAATAATACGAATTTACAAACTGCTATTAAAAATGGTAATTTTGGAATGAGACTCTATCATAGCACTAAAACAATGCTATGCAAGATTTTCATTAAGGGGGAAGACAAAAATCCATTATGGAGCCAGATTTTTGTTGGTAACACTTTTGTGCACCGAACACTTAGCCAAAAATTGCTTTTTTCCTAATTTAAGGGCCTATTCCTACCCAAACAATTTCAATCGTGCTAAATACAACCCGAACAAACATTCAGTGCCAAATACAACCTGAACTATGTTATGATTCACAAATACTACCTACTCTTTTTAAAACGTGCCTAAACCTACATTGACCGTAACAGAAGTTAGTCAACCGTTAAAATGATAAAACGACGTCGGGTCTATTTCTACCCAAACAAATTCAATCGTGCCAAATACAACCCGAACAAACATCCAGTGCCAAATACGACCTGAACTACGTTATAATTCAAAAATACTACCTGAACTTTTTAAAACGTGCCTAAACCTACATTGACCGTAACAGAAGTTAATCAACCGTTAAAATGATAAAACGATGTCGTTTCGATTTCATTATTTTTAAAAAAATATGAACATTCCGGGATTCGAACTCGGGCCTTGCCACTATTTAAAATAGACATATCAACCACTAGACTAAAGCAATTTTTTTAAATAGTACTACAAATTTGCAATTATATATATGCTTTTATACTTTTTCATCTTCTCTAATTAAAAATTTTCTTATTATTATTTTTGATTCTTATTAATATATTAACATATTTAATAAACTTATAAATACTAATTTCTTTTGTTTCTTAAAATTAATTTAAACTGAATATACTTTACCAAAATAAAATAAACTACCATTAAGTTTTATTTTTAAAATAATTTATATATGGACATTTTGTAAATAGTTGAAAAACATGAAATATATTTAATTTTGTATGATTATAAATATTTTATTATTTATATTTTAGTATAATATAAGTTTATTCAAGATATAATAATTACAAGATATGTTAATATATTTATAAGAATCGGAAATAATAATAACAAAAGTTTTAATTAGAGAAGATTAAAAAGTATAGTAGCATATATAATTGCAAATTGGTAATACTTTTTTAAAAAATGCTTTAGTCTAGTGGTTGATGTGTATGTTTTAAATAGTGACAAAACCCGGGTTCGAGTCCTGGAATGTTCATTTTTAATAATAGAATCAAAACGACGTCGTTTTATCATTTTAACGGTTGACTAACTTCTATTACGATCAATGTAGGTTTAGGCACGTTTCAAAAAGTTCAGGTAGTATTTTTGCATTATAACGTAGTTCAGGTCGTATTTGGCATTCGATGTTTGTTCGGGTTGTATTTGGCACGATTGAAATTGTTTGGGTAGGAATAAGCCATTTTCCCGACGTCGGTTTATCATTTTAACGGTTGACTAACTTCTGTTACGGTCAATGTAGGCTTAGGCACGTTTTAAAAGTTCAGGTTGTATTTTTGCATTATAACGTAGTTCAGGTCGTATTTGACATCGAAAATTTGTTCGGATTGTATTTGGCACGATTGAAATTGTTCGGGTAGGAATAGGCCCTTTTCCAAATTTTCTTGTGAGCGGATTCAGTTCTCTTTTCGCAGAGAAATAAAAAAATTCCTATCTTCAAACCCTATCGTAATCACACTCTGCTCTTCAATTTGTCCATTGATACACGCTCCTACATTGATCACTCTCATTTCTCTCACCACCCATATCTCTCTCCCTTTACCTGGACATGGCCTTAAATCCTCAAATCCTTGAACGTCTTCCCGTATGCATCTCCACCTCTCTGGATCCAATCCTCGGTACCAAACGTCTCTCTCTCTCTCTAAATTTCTTTGTTTCATAAAGTTCATTAATAGTTCTGAGCAATTTTTGTGTTGAAGGTCAATTGTGTATATTTTTATTTTTACTATATATATATATAATCTTGCAAAATATTGATGGAGAGATCCGTTCTCTCTCTACACATCGTCGAGAGAGAGAGATAAAACAATGTTTTGTCTTTTTCCCTTCTGATGCATTCTATGAATTGGATTGTTTATACTTTTTGTTCGTTTCATGTTTTGGTTCCAGTTACAAATTAATCTTTTCTATGATCTTAACCGGATATATAAAGTTCTGATTTAGATCTTTCTAAATCAGATTCAGTTTTTTTTTCCTTTTCATATTTCAACAAAAATATCTAATATGTAATTTTTTAATCTATTTTTGTTTGATTGTCTACTCAGATTCTCTTGCATGCATGAATAAAATCTCCGTCGTCCCTTTTGGTGGGCCTATTTAATTAGGCATGCGCGAGACTTTAATTTCTCTGTATAGATTTATGATTTGAGATATAAAGCTTGAGTTCAGAGCTTCACAAGCGTATTTCATGGTGGGCAACAACAGTGAAGGCATAAAATCTCTTGATCACTCTTATCAATTTTAAATTTTGTTCTCCATTGATATTTTCTTTTATTTTCTGTATATGTACAAGAAAGGGTGAGTATGAAAGCATGCATAAACAGAAAAAAATTCAAAATTTTGCCAAATAAACATGTAAGTTATAAAGACAATAATATAACAAATAGTAAAAATTGGCATTAAATAATACAAATTAATGATACAAATACCTGAGAAAGAATTAGTTAAATATTTATGAAATTTTTATTAAATTGGGTTTATCTTTAAATAAATAGTTTGTAAATATTGTGAACACGAACTTAAAGTTATTGTATTCAAATGAATGTGAAAATTTTAAAATATTATGTACTAAAATAATTCAACAATACTTCTAATATTGAAATGAAATTAAAAATATGTCTTTACTTAGTCACCAAAGACATAATATAAAATAGCTTGACAACATATAGCAAAAAAAGCATAAGAGAAATTAGATAATTTATATTAAAAAAACATTTAAAATAGCTATATCAACATAATAGAAAGAGAACACAATGTCGTAAATACTCAGAACAATCATATTATACCTCATTTAACTTTAGCGAAACTAACAGTTTGTCTTTTACTACAAACAGGTTCAACGAAAAAAATTGATCTTTTTTTTGAAAAAACAACTTAAAAATAATGATTCACGTATAATATAAAAAAATATTTAAATAAAAATAAAGGTTAAAGAAAAATATAATGGATCAAAATATAATATATATACTAGATATTTGACTCGCGTTTAAAAAGCGCGGATAGTATTTTTGTTGTTTTATCTACAGATGTATCGATAAATCTTTTGTTTTGATGATATAAAATGTCATAAAATCAAGATCAAGTTATTATGCGGGTATAAGAAATTTTTATTTTATGATGTCTTAGATAATTTTTTATGTTTCTAAATAAGTTAACAATGGTTGTATCTAAAATGTGTACTGAAGAAATATTGTATATTTAACAATTAAATGGTCTAATTTTCTTTTAGTTTTATGATTAATTCGTAAAATCATTTAGTTACAAAATTTCAATCGCTCACTTCGACATGCCCCGTCTAACCCACTCCGTAGCGGATTGAGTCATTTTTTCGAATGGAAAATTTGACCCGCCTGACCTGCAAAGAAAATATATTTTTGCAAGAATTATTTTTATAAAATTTTAAAAAGAATCAACCTATTAATAAAACCCATTAGTATATAGTTTTTAGGCCCAAATAAAAAAGATTAAAATGCTATTAATGAAAAATTAAAATTGTTCATAAAATTAAGGATAATTTAGGAAAACATAAATCATTCATTAAAAGGAAAGATTGATATATATATATATATAACCTAAAACTTAGAAAGTTAATAAATAGGTTAATCATCCGAGTGAGTTCTTTAATTCTTCTTCTCGTGAGTCCTGACCCGAGAATGTCTCCTCCTCTGATGAAAGTCAGAAAACTATCTTCATCCATCGCCGGCACGACACCACGAGAACATGATAATGATCCGTCGTCACCCTCACTTTCTTGGTTGCCCGAAGAAATCGTTTTGCAGTGCTTACTCCACGTCCCCAAAACCTATGACCTAAACCTCTCTTACGTTTCCAAAACCCTAAGGTTTCTTGTTCGCTCTCCTGAGCTCCACCGTTTGCGATCTTTTCTCCCTAAAAACTCCATCTATGTCTTCTTCCGCAAGAAGGATGCTCCTGATACGACCGACAAATATTCGTTCACTCTCCTTCCGATTCAGTTATCGGAACCGGAGATTAAGTACAAATTGCTACCGGTTAATCTCCCTTCTCATCCTTTTATGTACCATTCTTCAGCTGTCGCGGTTGGATCAGAGATATTCTTCGTTGGTGGATCATTCGAACCTTCTTCTGATCTTTGGATTCTTGATACTCGTTCTGGAGAGATAGCACAAGGACCAAGCATGAAGGTTGCTCGAACTTGTGACTCCGTTGTGGGAGTAATCAGTGGGAAGATATACGTGATCGGAGGGTGCGTAGACAAGATCCAAGTCGAGGTTTATGATCCAAAAAGGCGAAGTTGGAAAGTGGGTGAGAGTCCTGGCGAGAGGAGGTTTCAACGCGGACTAATAAAGCAGTTAAGTGCATCACTTGAATGGAAAATTTATTCTGCTGACACTGGAGGAATCAATGTATACAATGCGAGACAAGGTAGAAGATTGGAGACGGTGAAGATGCCAAGTGATGTTATCTGGTGCATGTGTGTAGTTGCTGATTTGCTTTATGCTTACTATTTTCGTGATGGGTTGATGTGGCTTGATGCTAAGCGTAAGATATGGAAGAGAGTCGTTGGTGTTGGCTGTAATGATGTTAAGACACTTGATGTTAATTTTCATGATGCTGTAATGGCAGAATACAATGGAAAGCTGGCGGTTTTGTGGCCCGAGAGTGATCCTTTAGCTAGAACGAAGACGGAGATTAGGTGTGCGTTGATCGAGTTGAATTGGGTTGGAGATGGAATGCGTGGGAGGATTGAGTGGTGTGGCACTGTAGCCGAAGTGCCGTGTAAGTATTGTTTCCATAATTTTTTTGTTGTTACTAGGTAAGGTCCATTTATTGTTTGGTCATTCCCCGCTATTTGTAAAATATGGTTTATATATATTAACATAAGATGCTGTAACATGAGCTCTGCCTGAGTGTTTATGTTTTTTTTTTCCTTTTTGAGAAACAATTTCTGTTTAAGTTCTTTGCAATCATTAGAGAAGTTATTTTGCATGTTTTGGTGATCTCTCGTGGATGTTTTCTTTGAAAATGGATGGAGAGGAGTGCGTCCTCACTATACAGATTTTTTTTCTTATCAGTTGTATAAATATACAGTTTCTTTTTGTGTGCATAGACTCTTCCTGGTATAGAACCTTGATAATTTGACGTTGACCTTTTTGAGGAGAAAGAATCTTGCAACACTCACAGCCGTTACTTTTCTCGGAAGTTCTCAGGATTACCTGCAGAATCTGTCTCCTAGGTATACTGTTTTAAGTAATTTTGTTACCAAAGGGACATTGTTCTCTTCTGTTGCATACTTGTTCAATGGTTATTTGATTGAGAAAAGACTTTATGATTTAATTTCTATTCTGAATTGTAGTAAGATGGAAACTCACTGATATCGCAAACACTACAAGAAAAGAGTGCCAACTCCGAGGATTATTTCCGAGAACATGAGTCATCGGTAAATTTGCTTTGCCGTTCCGAGGAACTACCGAGAAACAAATGACTTTGTCGGAAACTTCTCAAAATAATCCGACGAACTATATTTGTCGGAACGTTAACAGAATGAATTGTCGGAAACTTGTCAAAACACGAATTCATTGCCCAGAAATTTCTTTTGTCGGAGTATTCTAACAAATTTCTCGTTACTTTGTCAAAAAATTCCGATGAACAATATTTGTCGGAACCTTAACGGAATAAATTATTGGAACTTTGTCATAACACAAATCCATTTCAAGAATTTTATCTTGTCAAAGTGTTCTAACAAACTTGTCCGTACTTTGTCGAAAAATTCTGATAACATTGATTGTCTGTGCATCGTCGGAAAGGTAATTGGAATTATTCCGGTATTGGTGTGTCGGTCATAAAGCAGTTGTTGATATTTATTGATACAATTGATTTTCATATTATCAGTATTTTTATTTGATCAAGTTAAAACCTATAGTGGAGAAAAGACTTTGCGTAACCGTTCTGTTTTGTCATAAAACACTTTTTTATATCACTATAAATCTTAGAGTTTTTTTTGGGTTCAGCCCCTAAGGTGAACCAATCAGTAACAACATGCCAATTCATATCTAGTTTTAAGAAAAAAAAAGAAAAAAAATAATTAGAAATAGAATTATTAACAAAAAAAAGGAAAACGGAAAAAAAAAAAGAAACATAAAAAAAACAGAACACGCGACGGCTTACCCTTGTTGTAGAAGAAGAAGAGGAGCAAACAAGAATAGCAGAGAAGAAAGAAAAAAAAAAGAAGAAGAAGAAAGCTTGTAGCGCAAGAAAAGAAAGAACAAGAGGAAGTGACAAAGAGAGTCACGTAAAGAAGAAAGTCAACATGAGAGAAAATGCCACTTGACATTGCTTACAAACCAAAGAGAAGTTGAGGACAGTTGTTTTAGTGCATGTGTAATAGTTAGTGAGAAATTACTATAAGTATGTGTGGTGTTGTAAGAAAGATAAATTCAGTTTTAATAAGAATAAGAGCTGGAGTAAGTAAAAATGTAGACATACAACAAATCAAACGTGAGAGCATAAAGCTAGATATTTCTAATTATTTTTCCTTTTTTTCATTCATTTTGTTTCCTTTTTTTCTTTTTCCGTTTTTCATTTTTTTTGTTAATAATTCTATTTCTAAATATTTTTTACTTTTTTTTTTCTTAAAGCTAGATATGAGTTGGTACTTTGTTACTGGCTGACCCTAGGGGTGAACCCAAAAAAAACTCTAAATCTTATCCACAAAAGGT